GTTAAGAGAATTATCGATGATGAACCCCAAATACTTGATCTTCTGTACCACCTCTACACGTTCAGTACCTATTTCTATCTTCAAATCATACTGATTATATTCATGCTGGATCCTGTTACCTCCAATCATAATGAATTTCGTTTTTCCAACATTTAGCTTAAGCATATTGTCATTGAACCACAACTGAATTTGCTGAAGATCCAGATTTATTGCATGCATCAGGCTAACTAGATCTTTTGAAAAAAAATAGATCAATGTATCATCCGCAAATAAGTGTATAGAGCAATTTTGAATCGCCGAATCAATATCGTTAATATACAACAAGAACAGTAATGGACCAAGAGTACTGCCTTGGGGGACGCCATAATTGTTTGTTTTTGTTGTTGATATATTGTTCCCAATTTTTGTTATTTGTTTTCTGTTATCCAGGTAATCCACAAACCAATCAAGTACGTCATTCAAAATTCCATAATTTTGCATTTTCTTTATCAATTTACTTCTATCCAGAGTTTCAAACGCGCGCTGTAAGTCCAAAAACACAGCTCCCACAGCATAGTCATCATCAAGAAGATTTTTCCAATCATACAGAATATTTTGTACTGCTGTCTCACAACTATGTCCCTTTCTAAACCCCGACTGACTTGGAATAAGGATGTTATTTGAATTAATATACTCCATCAATTGACTGTATACCACCCTCTCTAGAATCTTTTCAACTGTCGCCAGAAGATTTATTGGTCTAAAATCACCTGCGTTTATAGAACCCCTGATTTTTTGAACTGGAATTATTGTTGATGTTTTTAACAAACATGGTAATTTACCAGTTTCTAAGGAAGTGTTTATTAGATTCAAAAGGGGTTGTTTTATGTTGTGGTATGTTTTTTTAATAAACTCTGCCGTTATATCGTCTGGACTTCCTTTATTGGGCAAGGAGGTAATGATGCTGTTCAACTCATTAAAATCTATCAACCGAAAAGAGGTGAAACAGCCATCACGTTGAGACATTGGAGTAGGGCTAGGGTTATCATCACCCTTGTCTATATGTGAAATTATGGTTTCTATGCTGTTGACAAAATATATATTAAGATTTTCGGCTATATCTGTGGGGTCGGTGATGATTTCATTATTGATTTCTACTTTTCCTATGTTTTTTTTATTTTTATCTATAATAAGTTGACCCAGTGTATCCCACATTTGTTTGGGATTATTCTTTGCCATGTCTATCTTTTTATGGTAAAAAACTTCCTTCTCTTCCCTAATGATTCTTACTACTGCATTTCTACATTGTTTATAATATTCTCTATTTTCTACCGTTTTATTTGACTTGAACGTTTTATAACTATTATCCCTCTTTGTGATGGCATTTTTCACTCTATCGTTAAACCATTCTCTATAGTTCTGTTTAATGACCCTTTCAGTTTTTGGAGCTACTTTGTTCAGAATATCCAATATGTTATTATAAAAATAAAGATACTTAGCATTTATATCATTAAGATTCGTTTTGTAGTTCCACAAGATATTTGACAATTCAATATTCACCTGTTGGTAATCTATTTTACCTCTTGTACATACAGTTACTTTTTCTGCGTAGGCCTGGTTCAACCCAATGATGGTTTTTACAATATGGTGATCACTAATACGGGGTGTTTCCATAACTTGGCACTTGACGATACCAGCTTTATTGTTGGATAGAACTAAATCTATTAAGCTACCTCCTTCTTCTGTAGGGTGAGTGACTAAATTGACATTCTGTGTGAAACCTGAGTCATTGACAATCTTCCTCAATCTCAACGAATATGTACCCTCAGCCAACCAATTGATATTGAAGTCTCCCATTATAATAACAGGATGACTCATGTCCTCAGATGCGTTACACCAACCTTCAAAAAAGCTCAAAAATTCAGAACAACTTGCACCAGGAGAACGATACAAATTACCTATCACATAAGTTTTGCCACAAATAGAGACTTTCAAGACAATAAACCAATAACTTTTTTTACATACATATTGTTCAATATTTAACATGTCAACACAATCATCTATATAAATTACTACACCACCAGTGTGCCTGTTTTCACTATTCACCCTATAAACTTTATAATTCAAAATACTAATCTCAAAATCACTTATACAATCTGTGAGTCTTGTCTCTGTTAAACATATTGCCATAGGCTTTGTTTCTAATATAAAATTGTGAATTTCATCAAACCTAGATAAAAGACTTTGAGAATTCATCAAAATTATGTCCCTTTCTTTAAAAAATGCTTCCTAGCAGAAATGTTATCGTTAAAGTTACTACCCTTTTTTTGGCACCTAGCGTTATTCAATATTAACCTTTGTATGGCCCTTGCTACTTTGATTCTCCCTCCAAATTTAAGTTTCAAACCGTTACTACCTTGAGAATCATAATAAAAATTTGAAGCATTTACAATTGCATTAAAGTGCACGAAAAATTTACCATTATAACTTGTGAAAATACTATCGAACAGTAACTTATTATGATTATTTATAAAATTATTCACAACCTGATTATTGTTCCATAAAGGAACCGTAAATAGTATTAAATTTGTTTGTTCACTAACCATTCTAAGACTCTGAATTACCCCCTCTTTAATATGCTGACCTTTCAAGATATTTATGAACCCGCCCATCACAATCACAAAATCATTTTTTGTTAAATTTTTGGTTGTGCTTACAATATTGCTAACAATATCCTCCATGAAAGCATTTACCTTAATGATTGCTGATATCTTGAACTTCCTGCCCAGGCCCAGAAAGCTATCCAGAATATTTCCTATACCACCTGCCAAATGGTCACCATATATTAAAATATTATGTATCTCTTCTACCACTTTTTTTGATCCATCCACTGACTCGCCAACGTAACGAAGAACTTCATTCTCCCCTTCTACCAATTTCCGCTGCAAAGCCTCATTATCCGCTTCCAATGCTCGAATTGAATTCAACATTTCCTCACAAGTTCCTTTAGCATCTTCAAGCTGCAACCTTTCATCACGAGATTTTTCTTCCAAAATGAGAATTCTTTCTGAAAGCTCCATATTCAGTTGTTCTAGCTTAGATAATTCGTTCCTTAATTTGAGTACTGATTCATCTTCGTTGACGGAATCTTGATCACTGTTCTGGTTTACAGCACTACATCCAGGTTGTTGGTCTTTAATGAGAGCCTTACACTCGCCGCAACAGAAAAGCAAAGCTCTCGCCTTTCCCAGCGCAACCGCATGCGCCTCTGTAGTGGTAAGCCCAGCGCATTTCTTGCATAAGACGTTTTTACAAATATCGCAGGGAGCGCCAAAGATTTCATCTTCCTTAGGTCTGCTCTTGAAAATGCATTCAAGATTGCATATAGAACAGACCAAGATTGTCATCCTTCCTTAGCGATTGGCACAATTCCGAGCGCACCTATTAGATTATCGTAAGGCAATGTTTTTAATTGTATTGAAATATCGCCTCTCAAGTACGTCACAAGCTGTTTTTACTTGACTATGAAGATTTATGGCTGTAGTTCATTCCGCACTGAATAAATTATTTTTTTTGCACTATTGACGCTATTTTGGAATTTGTTTATTTATTTTAACTATTGTCCCCCATTGTTCTTACTTGAAATACGAATTACTTTCAAACTTCAATTCTTGGGGATACACTAATATAAAAAATCAACTAACCGAAGTACTATTTATTACTTGCGCAATTTTCAAAAAAATCCGACCACTATTTCCATTGAAAAACCATAAAAAACCCGGAGCGCAACACACAACAACACGGATACATTGCCAAGTAGGTACGTTCAGAAATTAGTTAGGTATATAGACGTTTGGCAATAGGCCCCTTGCATCAAATTTTTTCATTGCTGATTTCGATAGTCCATGAAAAATAAGTCAACACGTGTTTTTTCTTTTTCTTGTTAGTCAAAAATTGACGGAGATGCAACGCTTTGAAATGTCCTTCTGACGTCATAACTTATAATACGTTGTGACGTCGCACATGCTCAGTATAGTATATCTATATATACAAAACTCAATATTTGTATAACTTTCGAAATAATCATATTTGGACTAAATAAAAAAACATGCATCAATTTTTTTTCGATTTACTACAGTTTGCAATAAACAATAATCAATTTAATTTTCCATGCAAGTACCCAATTGCCTTTAACAATTTTATCATTAATTATTATCAATTATACAGTTATCCAGATATTCCCGGAAATTTTCATCATGCGTCCGGACACCGGACAAACCTTTAAAAAACCGGACAGTCCGGGTGAAAACCGGACAGGTGGCAACCCTACTAGAGGTGGGCCAATCTGCGATTTTAATGGAACTGTGACAAGACGTGACTGCTCCAGTCGTGTCACTGTGACAAATAGCAGTGATTTTTGGCGCAGTTTTACCTTGGTTGACGGCCGTACTGCTAATATTATGGTAATGCTACGTCGCAACATGGCATAATCACAGTCATCAGTCACGGCCGAGAAAGATGTTCCAGTTTCTGGCCTGTCCTCTGCAGTAGCAGTTTCTATTTGGCGTGACTGCGATGCGATTTTTAATATTATATTATTTCGTTCGCATCACTTAGCTCGAGTTTTGTCCGCGCTGCATCGGTCGAAGCTTGAAGCAGGCAGTGACAAAATGTCACTGCTACTTGACTGGGACTGGAGCAGGCCGTGACTGTGACAGACGAGTAGCAGTGACAAAGTCACAGTTCGTGAAATCGCAACCAACTAATGCTCATGAAACTAGAATCGCAAATGATGACAAAACGCTCGACTCGTATCAACTAGTAAAATTGTAATCCAGCAGCTGGGCCTTAATTAAATAATTTCACCTTAGAAGTCGTCAACTTTTATTAATTGGCCAGGTGAATTAAAAATCTAGTGGGCCTTATTATCGGTTGGTTATCATAGACAAAATTCTCAAATTTTTAATACCTACCTGAATGCTAAATTAAAATAAATTTTAAACTTATTCTAGAAAACTTACCATGTCTTTTCATATCCAGTTTCCCAACGGTATTCTTTTGGATTTTCTTCGTCCATTTTTTGCAATTTTATTTCTTGTTTGTTGAAGAACTTGAGCTTCTTGAAGTCCAAATTTTTTCTTAGGTTATGGTTTTATTTTGATTTGATGCATAACGAATTTCATTGGTCGAATCACTCAGGGCCGGTTTACACTCTATTCTGATTAGTAGCAAGTGCAGGTGTCAGGTGTGTAGTGTTTAGTAATGTAGTACTAGTATTTAGTTCGAGGAGGTTGAAATTATGCTCGGTCAGCTCGGTTTCACATTGAGGTAGAATAATACCAAGGATAATACACTATACTAAGGATTGCTTATCGGCCCCGTTTTTGGTAATCGCCGCGAGATGGCTCCATTTGTGCTACTGTGCATTTGTGCTAATCCGCAAATGGTCTACTCACGAACGCGATCGGCTATGATCGGGATCAGTTAACATGATCGCGGAGGAGTAGCAAGAGTAGTTGAAGCTTATGAAGGTTTTGTGTACGCGGCGGGCGCGCGGAACATCTGGTGTAATCAGCTGATAATAATAAAAATAAATTAAAAAATGTATTTGTATTTAGTGAATGATTGTGGACTTTATTTTTATTAACTACAGTCTACAGTAGAGTTAAGATTTTAGAAATATATAATATACTTATTTATTAAAGCGTAGAGTCCTTGTAGAGTTTATACAGACGTGTAAAATTATTTATAAATGTAAAGTCAATAATACATATACCTATCAAAGTATCTCCCCAGATTTAAAATCATATGGGGTTGTATTATTTATTGATTTCCCAGAATATTAGGTCAATAAACCTAGCAGTCCCATATGGAAAAAAACGAAGGGATTGCTAGGTTAATATGAAATATAGCAGTCCCCTGTAGTGAAAAATATTTTTTTAAATTTTTCTTTGGTATCAGAATTTAGATAATATGCTTTTTAAAGTTCTCCTAAATACCTGGTCAAAGAAAAAATTGAATCAGTTAATTATTAACTGAATTACAGATTTTTTTTCAATATTAGGAAATTCCTGGATTCACGTTTACTTATTGGGGGTGTGTTAGAGGCTTACAGCCAATTTCATAATCAACTTTAAGTAAACTTTAAATATAAAGGTCCATTTGAAGTAGAAAAATCCCATCCAAAAAGTCTATTTAGCTAAAGTAACTTTTAATTCTCTATCATGAAATTGGCCGTTAAACCGTTAAAGGCTGAAATGTTTTTGGATTGAATTTAGGTACCTACTATTTAAGTGCTCCTAAATTGTCAAAGAAACACTTGAATCTGTTAATTATTAACTGAATTACAGTTTTTTTTCATTATTGGCAAATTATTGGCTTCACGTTCAGTTGGTGGTGTGTCAGAGCTAAAATGTTTATGGATAGGAATTAGTGCTATTTAAGTGCTTCTCAATATTTGAAGAAAAACTTGAATCAGTTAATTATTAAACTGAAGTACAAATTTTTTTTTCATTAAGGAATTGCTGGCTTTACATTTACTTGGGGATGTATTTGCATTGCAGCGAATCTGAAAACTGCGACTAAAATGTTGTATTGGAATTTGGTGCTATTTAAGTGCTCCCAAAAAGTTGAAGTTTTAGATAGTTCAAGTTTTTCTTCGACTATTCAGGAGCACTAAGATAGCACCTAATTCCAATTATTACAACATTATAGCAACTGTTATCAGTGTTATCAGTTTCGCTGCAAATATTTACACCCCCAAGTAAACGTAAGGCCAGTAGTTCAGTTCCCTATAATAATACAAAAAAAATCTATAATTCAAATAATATATAACTAATTCATGTTTTTCTTTGACTATTTAGGAGCACTTGAGCACCTAAGTCCTATCCAGAAAAAATTTAGCTTTTAACCACCAACTAGTTAAACGTGAAGCCAACAATTTCCATTTCCTAATAATGAGAAAAAATCTCTATTTAGTTTAATGATTAACTGATCAAATTTTCTTTGACTATTTGGAAACACTTGCATAGCAAGAATCATAAACTATAGGATTGCTTTTCCTTATAAGGCGTACGTTCGCCAATTCTCGAGTCGGCAAGGCCTGCGAGTGACGTTAGTACTATTAGCAGCATAGCCTCTTATAGTGGTGACGTCACCCGCAAGCTTCGATGGGATGCTTGCGATTCAGGTTGTGCTTGTTTCTTCATCGATTTTAAATGTAGAAAAGGTGATTCCTGGTAATGAAAAAAATCTGAATGACTGTTCTTCTTCGACTATTTAGGAGCACTTGGATAGCTTATTTGCTAATTCCTATCCAGAAACTAGCTTCTGCACACAGTGGCTTTACACTCGGTAAACTCCGAGCAGTCCGAGCGCGCTCGAAACATTAAGATAGCGAAAATAGAATTCAACTTCTGGAATCTCTTTCTCAGTGAAAATGTTCTATCTTTGATTGTTGAGTACCCGAATCAATACATAGAAATTGTAAAACCGAAATTCATCAGATGGTTCAATTTTTTTATCAATGATTTAGTATATGTATCTCTGTGATACAGCGTGACTAATGATGTTATAAAACTCGCGATGGAAGGTTAAAATAAATTAATATTTAACCAATAAAATATTAAAAGTTAAAATTTTCCATTTTTAAAGTAAACAAAACACCACACGCACTCAATACTTGAAAAATATCGAAATAGAATTCTATTTTCTATTTTAAATACCCGCCAGATGGAGAGGGAACGGCAATGCTGTACCCATTTGCGCTACAACAACTGCATTCGTTTCGATGAGGGTCATACTCCGGTCGGACTTCGGCTCGTCCGACGTTCCCGCCCGAAGGCGACTTCGGGTGGGTAGAGCAAATGAACATTAGCACAAATGGGGTGATCCCATCGCCGCCATATTGGTGTGTCACCATTTCCGACGTCATAACTTAAAGTGGTCAGCTGTTTGCACTACAGTGGCTAAATAAACCTTTACATACAGTGGCGACAATAGAGGTCCCGACGCCATTTTGTTCACAACCTCTTGTTACTTTTAAATATTAATAGGTCTGTTTCTGCAGAAATCACAAACCAGTCAGAGCGAATTTCATTGGTGGAAACTAGTTTTCTGACTGTTTCTGACTGTTTTCAACCAATGAAATTCGCTCTGACTGGTTTGTGATTTCTGCAGAAACAGACTATATAGGATTTAAATGGACATTATCATAAAAAAAAGTCGCGTGCAGCACAGTACACGTGATAGAAGTGAATACTTATTTATCGATTCGTTGAGGGTGAGTGAGTGAGTGAGAGAGAGAGGGAGAGAAATGTATTATACATATTACATTAATGCGTTAAGAACAATACTCTCTTTCATGCACCATCTCTTTCTCTCTCTCTCTCTTCCTCATATTCATCATATGCTTCATCTCACTTGCGAGACGAAAATTTTATAAATCGTGTCGTGACGTGACCTTGAAAAATTACTCTCATGCGTCCAAAGAAGTATTCACTTCAAAAATTGAAATCGACGTATTTGATGACTATTATTAGGTCTATCGAATACGTTGTGTTTTCCATGTTTTATGATGGATGTTCATCCAAATCCCATATATTCATATTTGAAATAAGTAGTAGGTAGGAACAAGATGGCCGCGTTTTCAATATAAATATATGGGATCTTAGAACCAATCAAAAATAAGACAGCAATTGACGCCACTGTGGGTAATAGAGTCACTGTAATCGCCGCCATATTGGTGTGTCACCATTTCTGTCGTCATAACTAAGTCGTCAGCTGATTGCACCAGCGGTTGTAGTTTAGAATTTAAATTTATGATGAAAAATATTTAAATTTTGATTACGAGATCCAGAATGTTAATAATGTAGGATTTATAAAGCAAAAGCCCGCGGAATCATAACCTGTAGTGCAAACAGTCTACGTCAGTCGTCAAAGCTAGAAAAGACAAGTTACTACGTCACAACTAGTGATTTGGCGTGAGGGAGGCTTCAGATTGTTCCACACAGGCCCTATGCAGTGTTGCCAGATGAAATAAAAAAAATTCGTGAGAATCGATAAAAAAAAATCGTGAGACCTAAAATTATTGCTTGCTTGTAAGAAAATAATGCACAATGTTCTTCTATAGATTTTTGATAGAGTAGACATGATTTTACATTCATAAGATATTGAAATTTTATTATTAAATCTTGTATCCTTGTTTTTTCCGTTTTTTAGCAGGTGTTTCTGAGAGCTGAACCTCGTTTTCATTATCCGCAGGATTGCTTATCCTAAAAAAGCGTACGTTCGCCAATTCTCGAGTCGGCAGCAGGTCTGCGAGTGACGTCACTACTATCAGCAACTAATAGTACTAACGTCACCCGCAGACCTTGATGGATGGCTTGCGATTCAAGCTGTGCTTGTGCGTTAATTTTATTGGGAGTTTCAAATTAGGAAAAGGCGATTTTAACGTTTATGAATTCGTTTTTTTGGACTCGGATAATGCATTTTCTGCCAAGAGTTGAGGTCTGCAGCTGACGTCACAAATAGTGGGGTCTCGTGGACTTCGCAGACACTTTCAGCTCAATAAACAGTCCTATTAGCACAGGATATACAAAAACAACCAGCAGGTTAACTCTCACGCGCATCTCTTCTGAGATTTTAACACCCATCTCATCTGCGCACGCCGCCATTTTGGGATACAAAGCTCAAGTTAGCCTGCTGATTGTTTTTGTATATGCTGTGCTATTAAGTAAAGTGTTCTTGAGCGCGCATGTACCAGGACTCAGGAGCGGCGTAACATAACTAAATATTGTATAGTAGATTTTTATTTCGATTATTTCCGATTACATTATATTTGATTACTGATTTGTATTACTACAGAGAGAATTCGATCGTGAGATTTGCTACCTCATTCGTGAGATCGTGAAATTCTGACCAAAATCGTGTAATCTTACGAATAATCGTGGGATCTGGCAACACTGGCCCTATGGGGATAGGATAGGCAATCCTGTAGTAATACAGTACTGTGTTTTATCCTTGGAATAATGAAAAATAGCTTTTGTTCGCGGGTCCGATCCCGAATCGGTTCAGAACTAATTCGGGATTGTCGTAGAGCGCATGTCTAGTTAAGAATCGGTTCAAGGTTCAAGATTTATTTTACTGCGAACGATTTCGAAACCGAAAACCGAAAACCTACTTCTAAAAATTCTGTGATTTTTGAACCTAACTTAGCTTTTTGATTTTGATTTTCATAATACGAAAACAATAACAGAGTAACAGACATAATATTTATATTTATTCAAAATTCAAAAATGCTCTATAAATTGCTCATCGCTGAATTGTGGCATCAACTCGTCAAAATGTGCATTGCTTTCCATCAGGAACTAGACCTATCTTTTTTCATCTTGAATGCCCGCGCAACTCGTAGGTTTCAGGTAAGCGTCCAATGAGAAGCGAGTTTGTTATAGACTATATTCGCAGACTCCTTATTTTTGCGCCCTTTTCGGTGTTCGCATGATATAATCTGTACTTTACTTTTATTTATTATAATAGGGTCGCTTTTACAAGTAGAGTTTAAACTTCAGATTGAACTGCGGTTTAACCAAAAGTTTAAACCAATGTTTAAAATAAAATACCATCTTTTACGTCTGTCAGTAAAGTTCGGGAAAATTGGAATAATAGGGTACTTGCATGGAAAATTAAATTGATTATTGTTTATTGCAAACTGTGGGAAATCGAAAAAAAAATAGTTACTTTTTTTTAATTTCACCCAAATAGGTATGATTATTCCGGAAGTTATACAAATATTAAGTTTTGTATATATAGATATACTGAGCATGTGCGACGTCACAACTCACAACGTACCTATTATACCTAAGTTATGACATCGGAAGGACATTTCAGAGCGTTGTATCTCCGTCAATTTTTGACTAACAAGAAAAAGAAAAAACACCTGTTGACTTATTTTTCATGGACTATCGAAATCAGCAATAAAAAAATTTGATGCAAGGGGCCTTATTGCTAATGCCACATTATAAAGAAGAGGAAATTGTCCCTAACTTATGTTTTAAACATCATTAACATCAATTTTAAAATTTAAAAGTTGTTAGTTGTAGTTGTTACATTGAGTGGTTATTGTGTTGATTTGAAAAAATGGATTTGTTACAAAAAAGAAATCAAAATTTCTCGGAACAAGAAATTACTCTATTAAAGGAGTTGGTCAAAATCAGCAAGGATTCTCTAGAAAACAAAAAAACTGATGCAATCAGTTGGAAGGAAAAGGCTCAAGCTTGGGAATGATTAGCTACCGAATTTAATAAAAGAAATGATGGAAACGCCCCTCGCACTGCAAAAAACCTAAAAATTAAATGGGAAAATCTGAAAAAGATTACACGGAAAAAATTTGCTGTTGCAAAACAACAAATCTTCCATTGTGGTTTGGTTTCAGCAACTCGAAAGATTTATTAAGGGCCCCATACACTACGGTGAAACACGAGACGGTTTTCACCGCCGCGAGGAAACATGTCGTGCCAAAACCGAAGTGTGTGGTAGAAAAACACGACGGTTTTCTACCACACACTTCGGTTTTGGCACGACGTGTTTCCTCGCGGGGGTGAAAACCGTCGTGTTTCACCGTAGTGTATGGGGCCCTTTATTATATTTTATTCATTGATTTGTTTCCCAAAAATAGGATTATAATCTTGGGATTGTAATTTAAACCAACCCCCAACCAACGGTAAAGTTTAAACTTAGGATTGACGATTAACCCAAGTTGTAAAAGTGTCAATTTTATAAAACTGTAGTTTAAACTTAAGATTTATGGAGTTTAAGCTCTACTTGTAAAAGTGGCCCTACTGATGCTGGTGAGGTAGTATGCCGTCGGTTTCGAAAATATGAGAGCCAGCATGAACGTATTTTAAACGCACGTTTTTTTGTGATAAGGCGGTTACACACGGACGTGGATGTCTGAAAACATGAACGCACATACATGAACGTGCAAACAAAAACATCAATGTGTATGCAAAATACCGTCGCGTTTTTGAATGTGCAATTTTGTATGCACACTCGGAATTCTGTAGCAAGAAGAGCAAGACTGCAGGTTTGTGCGAGCGTCTGTACAAAACGCCTTGCACGTTGTTGTTTGCACGTTGATGTATGCACGTATATGTATTAAGTCATCCACGTCCGTGTGTAACCGCCCATATGGGTAAAAGTCAAAAAGGTTTAGTTGTAGGAGCAAAGGGGTATGTGTTAAAAATATATGACTGATAACAAGTGTAGTCCAGTCATGTTGGCAACATATTCCCAAAGGTTATTTTGATTTTACTTATATGGTCGCATGAATATGATTTTTTTAACCTAAAATGAACACAACAGTGGGTAAAATGAATCAGCTGCAAAATGAAACAAAAATTAACAAGAATGAACTTGAGAGTAAATCGAGGAGTAAATTGATATTAATTTCATCGGAAATTTGGAATAGCTGTGTTTAAGAGACTACAACGAGAACTACCCCTATTTCCTCCCCCCTTTTAAAATGCCTAGAAACTACAAAAAAAGTTGGGGCCTCAGGGCAAATACAATTACGACAATATTAACGTAGAAAGAGCAGTGGCGGCGGTCTGACGGGGAAGCTTGTCCATGCACAAAATTTCTAAGCAACCTGGAGTGCCGTTTAGAACTATTTACCCAATCCACTCTTAAAAAAATGGTCGCCAACCTGTGCTAAATGAGGAACAAGAAGCTCGCATAAAGGACTCTCTTCAAATATGCACAGTGCACACACAGTGGGGGTTTCCTCTAAAATCGAATGATATCAGGGAAATTGAGCAACATTATCTTATCAAGTTGGGACTGACTGAAAAAAGATACCAAGACAATCTTCCAGGACTCGATTAGACAACTGGTTTGAATTATTTATGAAACGACGTTCAAAACTCACTGTAAATTAGCGGAGAATGTTCTTTTTTTGCGTTAAACTTATTTTTTGAACAAAATATACTTCATTAAACCTTGTGAACTGGTTCACTTTACCCATTATTAGTCTAAAGTGAATAAAACGCCAATTTAAACGGGTGATTCACTTTACCCCATAATGGTGGGTAAAGTGAATCAACCTTTGACTCAGAAAAAAGGGCGTTTCCCATACTCAAAAAGGGCCAATATGTTGATGAATCCTTTGGAAAGCGTGCTAGAATATACATTATTTTTTGCATATTTTTCGGTCTAATGGTTTCAAAGATATCAACAAAAAACCGCAATTTTTGATTCACTTAACCCCGTTTGACGGTACTACTTGGATGAAAAAAAAAAATCTCTAAAATTGTGCATATTTATAAATAACTAGCTGATCCGGCGAACTTCGTACCGCCTCTGAATTATTAAATAGGTACCTATTAAATGTTGTGTTGTTAACGTATCGATTAGCTGGATTAATTTCAGTTTTTTTCGATGGTGAATTTGGCTTTGGTTGAAGAAAATTAATGTTTACTCTCTGGATCACAAGTCACCTAAAATAAAAATTTAACATCATCCCTTTCTAGGCAGCTTGTGGGCATTCTTGTAAAGTGTACCACCAAATAAATAAACTCAGGTACAGGAATGTTCAAAGAATGTAAAGAAAACAAAAAAAATCTCCAGCGCAGCCCTGTTTCACTCTATCTGCACTGCACTACTACATCTGTTTTACTCTATCTACACTATTCTATCTGATCTACTCTTGCTGCGCCACTCTATCTGATCGGAATAGTGGAATAGTTCTGTTCCGAATAGCTCCAGTTCCAGAGCAGCATTGTTCTACTGTATCTGCAATGAAATTACCGCGCAACGGCCAGCTTTGTTCTAGGTATCAGAGATGGCGCCGTATACAAAATGGTTTGCAATGAAAATGTGGCGTTAAACTTGGTATCGATTATAAGAGATGACGCCGTATGCGGGCTTAGTGAATTATTTTCATAAAAAAGTAAAATAAGTAATTTTGTTTCCCATTTTTTGGATTTTTTCGATTTATTATGTTATAAGGGACAAAGACAAATCCAATAAAGCAAAAATCATAAAAATCAGTCCAGCCGTTCTCGAGTTATAAGTGCTAGAACCAACACAACTGAGTGTGCAACATATGGGATTTTTTTTCAGTAATAGCACAATCAAAATACAAACAAGCCCAAAAGTTGGTGCATGTCTGATGATCATATTAGGTGCACTTAGAATGGTTGCAAGTCAAACCGCATACAGGGTAGCTCAAAAAATATCAAAATTGTAGTAATATTTACTTAAATAAAATAAAACTTTTGTACTTCAAGGAGAGTTTTTTTAATATGGCTATTATCATTAGTAATGTTTTAACTTGTTAAAAAAAAATTGCAACATTTTAAAGTTGTGTTGAATATCATTGCAACAAACATGAATTTTGTGATTCCATAAAAAATTAAAAATCTAAGTTAATTTTACAAATATGCTTGCATTTGAACAAAGTTATGTAAAATTGATTTGATTTTAATTCATTTTTGAAGGTATTAGGGGCGGAAATAAAAAATAAAAAAAATATAGAAATTATAGAATTTTTTCGAAAGAAAATAAAAAAATCTTAGGAGGCTATGTTTTGGTATTTAGGCATAACTTTTAATACCAAACAACTTTTCTCTATAACATTTTGTTGAATTTTCTAAAATAAGGGTACTTTACAGTACAGCTTTGATATTATTTGAGCTACCCTGTATGCTGTTTGACTTGCAACCATTCCAAGTGCACCTAATACGATTATCAGACATGCACCAACTTTTGGCCTTGTTTGTATTTGGGTTGTGCTATTACTAAAAAAAATCCCCATATGTTGCACACTTAAAAAATCACACTGTATATATAGATTTTTTTTTTACCTCAGAGTTGAACCAATTGGGATATTTATCGACCCTGATGGTTTTTTTGAGAACACACTGATTAATTTTTTGCTGTATAACTTCGTACAAAACTAGCGACCTCTTTGTTAGAGTCAGCATTACTTAGGTTCCACTCAATGGGTACTGTTAAAGTAATAATTGTTCATTGTCATTGGAAAAATCACATCACAAATTCTGGGTATTATTGCAAGAAATCTGAGAATTTCAGTTAATTTTTCAAAATTTTTCAATTCAGCTTTATGGTTTGGTTATAAAATAAAACATGATTTATTTTACTAATAAAAATGTTTATTGATAACCCTATATAGTATATAAATGAATAATAAGTAAATTGCAAAATTAATAATCTACCAAAAATTATTCAAAAAAAAAAAAAATTATGAAAAATTTAATTTCGCAGGAAAGCTAATGGCTAAAAAAAAATAACTATTAATTACTCGATTATGGTGGGAGGGATATTTCAAGTAAAATCCTTAACCTCACTACTAATCTCTTACGTTTAGATAAAAAGAAGGCAACATGGTATAGATTTCCTATATACATACATAATAGTAATAATAATAATTCGTCAGTATAATAGTTAATAGCAAAATCGTTAGAAAAATATTTCGTATATATTTTTATACACAGCTGTTGTTGGATGAATGGTCCGAGTTTTAAGTAAGATAGGACAGTCCAAAAAAATATCCTGTCTTACAGTCTAAATTTTGAGGTGAACAAATGCATTAAAATAGACAGTAGCTAAAACAGAAATCGAAATACTGAAAAAAATAAATTACAAATTTAACAATGTAATACTTAATTTTGTTATATAGTTTCAAGGGCCCTTTTACCAAAAAAAAATAATGGCACTAAACTTAAGATGAAGTGCTAATGGAATGCTTTCATTCATTAAAAAATTAATAATAATAATTAATAAGAAAAGACATAATAAGCGCAGAGCAGATCTAAAATTTGCAACGAGTGTTAATAATTTATCACAACAAACTAACAAGAGGGGATTTTCAGAACCAATACTAGTTTATGAAAAAACCTTAAAGGAAAAAAACTTTATTTATATAAAATATGTATATATAATAGAATAATTATTGTAAAATATCCCTAATAAAAGCATCTTGTAGGTTTTGATAATTGCATTATAAGGCCACTTTTAGTCAATCTGCAGTGATTTTATGGCTAGTTTTGAAGGGATAAATGGTAGAATCAATTTTATTTTGGTAGTTTCTTAACTTGAGCATTTTTGAATTTTGATTATTATATTTTTGTCATCAAAGGTGAAAAAAGCTTAACCAATAAGATTTTGTTAAAATTGGATGTATGTCAGGGGTTTGGACCTCATTGAAATTTTTGATTTTGTTATAAAATAATGTCCTCTCGCTGCTGATGGCTGCTTGAATTGTTCAATATAATAATAATCCTTATTGATGACAATAAAAAGTTTTAATCTTATTACAGAAAAAAAAAAAACACTACTAAGTCAAAAAAAAAATAAATGTCAAATCGATTTACATGTTTTCGAACTGATCCACACGACGTTTGGTGTTGCCTTTACGAATTTCGCGTAGAGTTTTGTATTTATCGCGTCCTTGACGGACGTTCTCTCGATGGATTTTGTCCATGGCCGTTTCCTTTGTCTCGTCACGTGATTGGGCGAGGTCTTTCTTCAAAGCCTGAAAAAAAAGAGTAGATGAAAATTCAGCCCTTTGCAGTGAACAACAAATTTTTATGTGCAAGGCTACTGTATGCTGTGAACAAACAATTTGGACCAATGAATTGATAAGGACTGATAGAAGTGGTTATACAATTTTTTTGTTGAAATCACTTCATGGAAGGGACATCAAACTCATTAGAAAACCATTGAAAGTTGCATCTTTCTTTTTGGAAAAAAATAATTGACCATAGTTAAAATGTTGATAAAGTGTTTGTGTTATCATTCGGGCTTAATGGACAGAAATCTGGAGGAAAACTAAGCCACACAGTGTACCGAAAACCCACACACACAGAGATAGGTACCTGCATGCACTCTCAAACCACCATCCAAGGCAAAAACGTGGAATTATAACAACGTTAACAGAACGTGCTCGGAACATCTGCGGGCCACAACATCTCGAGCAAGAATTGGATCACCTCAAGTCGGCCTTTCTATCAAATGGTTACAATGCATCTGAAATCGACAGGGCCATGCGACCCAAAACTGCCATACGACAAAACGTGGATGAACAACCAGTGGTGGCTATATCTGCCCTTCATTTCTCGGGTGACAGATAGGATAGGAAAAGTCTTGAAGAAACACAACATAAAAACGATCTTCAAGCCAACAAGGATAATACAGCAATCAATCAGATCAGCCAAAGATGAGAGGAACCCACTGTCAAGCGCTGGAGTCTATCGTATACCATGCACATGTGGTAAGGTATACCGAGGAACAACAAAAAGATCCATGGGAACCAGGATCAACGAGCACAAAAGAAACTGCAGACTAGGACAATCGGAAAAATCGGCAGTAGCGAAACATGTGCTTAGTGAAGGAAATCACGAAATACTATTTGGTCAGGTCAAGCTTCGTGCACCTACTTCCGGATACCACAATCGTCTTGTACGTGAAGCTATAGAAATCCACAAACATTCGGAGAACTTCAACAGGAAAGAAGAAACGCTAAAACTTAACCAAATTTGGAACCCCATCTTCAAAAACGCAAGAAAGATCCCATTGAGTACAGAGAAAGTTCAGATTAGCCACGTGCTGCGAAGCACAAATAATGAAATTATGAGCTCTTAATGTTAATCCAAAATTACAACACATTTCAGGCAACTATATTAGTTTCTCTTGAACCAAAAAAACTATAGTTTACATTAAATGCAAAGCAACACCCAAGTACCTCTAATATCGTTTTCCTGTGTTTGCACAGTATACAACAAATTGGTGTCTAGAAACATATCAATTTTCTTCAAATTATCAATTAGAAAAAAACATTTTACCTGTAATTGATCTTGTAAACGTTCATTACGCTCAGCCAAAGTGCGCCTGTCTTCAATAGGATCGACAATACTTTCGTCAGTATTAAGATCCTTGCTTACGTCACCATTGACCATTTCATCGTCATCGTCATGATGGTTTTCTTCCAAGTGGCCTTTAGTAGCATTAGCCAGTTGTTGTTGCTTCAATTCTTCCTCCTTACGGCGAGCTTCTTCGACTTCTTCTTGAAGGCGCTTGGTTTCAGAGTCCTTGGCTTCGACTTCTTCTCTGATTCGTTGCACTTCTACTTGTTTGGCCATAATTTCGTCTTCCAATTTCTGTCTCTCTGCTGCCTCCATGTTCTTGCTCTCTTCCAAACGTTCCATCATCGCTTGCAATTCGTTCTGTCTCTGTTCGAGTTCTTCTTTAGCTGCCTGAAGCTGTTTGAGCTGCTCTTCCAATTTTCTAATCATGTCTTGAGCTTCGACTAAGTTGGCGTGGCTACGTTCCATTTCTTCTTGCATAGCTTTAAGCCTGTCTTCATATTCTTGCTGCTTCTTTTCTGCTCTTTCGCGGGCAGCAATTTCAAATTGTAATTTTTCTCTTTGCGCCTGTTTCGCGAGCTTTTCCTCTCTGGCTTGTGCTTTCATTTGTTGGACATCGATTGTGTCGGGTTTTCTTCGTCGCATGTACAATTCGTGGTTGCCCATGCACAAAGCTAGAATTCTCTTGTTGATTCGTACACGTGGTGCAAAAAAGACGAAATCTGGCGCCTTTTTATCAATCGGTTTAATGATAAATTTGCGGTCGTTGAACGAAATATTTCTGATTTCCGACCATGGGAAACCGATTTTGGGAGTGAGCTGATCGTCTTTTTCATAAATATTAAGACCCAAAGCGTCAACTCCCAAATATAATTCGGTACCTTTTTTGTTGCGAATTTCGAAATAGTTTACTCCGTACATTTCCAAGTCTTGCGCGATTTTCAAGTATTCCATCATGGCATCTTCACGCATCATCCCTCTGTGTTCTTTCCACCACGTCATTATACTACCTTCCCATTCGTCTTTGGACATTTTATGTTGGTCCATAACTCTGGAAATAAACAATTTATTATTTGCTTTAATCGTTTTTGGTGAGGTTTTACCTTTGTGGTAAAAGTCTGTCGTTAGCCAAAAATCCTGCCGAATGATTCGATTTAATGTAATCGCCGTGTCTGGCTTGGACGGCGTAAGACGCCAAAAGGACAGAGGTTTCTGGCGGACAATAGATTTCGTCGGACAAAATCGCGTTTTTCACTTGCAAGTAAAATAGTCGCAAAGTGATGTCTTGGATCAATTCTTCGGCTACGTCTTCTGGATAGAATTTGGCACGGAATTTGAACTGGAGGGGATTTTCTTTTTTGACATCTTGGGCCATGACCTAGAATGAAAGAACGGTTAGATCTGTGAAAAAATGGAGCTGGTAGAATTTTTTATTTTTTGAAAAATCAAGGAGGATAATTTTTGAGCTGAAATTTTGTCAACCTTAGTACTTGGAATGGAATCTGAAAAGCAGTTCAAGCTATTGTCACAACCCCTATACGTTTCGTCCTGGGACGTCACAATAGGAGCTTGACTTGGGGGCGTAGGTGGGGTTCAGGTAGAGAAAAACTCGCTTGGTATAGGTATAATAAGATGTGTATTGAATAATAATAGTATTACCCTAGAAATGGTATCATGACGTCTCTTCTACGGAGGGACCTACTACTTATGGGCCACTCTGTATTAATTATGTACCCTCTGTACACTTGGCGTGACTGAAATTGGCTTTGAGACAAGTCCAGAAGGGCGTTTCCCATTAAAGGTAGTTTGCATTGGACCTAGTCTGCTGCGTTCAATACTCCCAGAAGGCCCTTTCCCATTGAAGGTAGTTTGCACTGGGAGGAGACTTAGCTAGAGGGGCTTTTCCCATTAGAGGTAGTTCACACTAGCCTTAGTCTGCCGGTAATGGATTTCGGCGCTGTATTTATACCAAATAAATGCTGACTCGTCGACACACTTTAGTACATTTGATGCAGTGCAGTGGTATTTACTTAAGTAGTTGACGCTATTGTTGATATAGTAAATACCACGACTTATTTGACGCTTGGAAAACTTATGCAAGAGAAAGGCCCATTCTCTAGGCTCCATTGCTTTTCTCCAAAGATGCAGAGACTCGGAAATCGTTCCGAAGTTCCTGAAGATTCGAAGAATTTTCAATCCTTTCCAATCTAAGAGAATTTTCGAACGAGCGGAACGAGCCTTGCTTCGGGAACGGATTCACCAAACAAGGAAAGACCTAGCAACTATGGACAAGGATCTTGTATTGATAAACAAAAGGTTATCCAACGCAGCATGCATTGGAGTGACTGGGACAAAATTGACCGATTGACGTATGACCTGATGGAAGCCACACTAGCAAAAACAACCAAGAAACTGGTAAATAAGTGTGAGTCCTTGAAACCAATGAACACAGCGAAACCCACAAGCAATGATCGCACAGTTGTCAACCTGACCTAACGCGGAGGCAATCACACCGAAAGAACTGCCATTCGAAGAAATAGCAAATGTGAAAGTTAGGATACGCACATTACCTACGTCAAACCACTGCGGAGGAAATACGCAATGAAACATCTAGGATTCTACGACTAGCGGAACCTCCAAAGTGCAACCTGACATACGAGGAAAGGCAAGCTATTCGCAGCCTGAATAAATACAAGAACATACTAGTTCTGCCTGCGGATAAAGGAAAGGCAATGATAATCATGACCTTGACTGACTATGAATCAAAAATTTCCAAACTGCTAGACCCCTCTACCTACAGAAAGCTGAAGTGCAATCCCACTGCTTCCATATTGCGAAAAACCAATCAACTCGTCCGAACACTACCGTTGGACCCGGAAAACATAAGGAAACTCATCAAATCTGAGGCCTTATATACCACCTAGAATATGTAAGCTTCCCAAGATTCACAAAACAGGCAACCCACTCAGATCCATTGTAAGTACAATAGATTCGCCCACATACAGCGTAGCCAAATACCGCACCATCCTCCTTCAGCCACGAATTGGCAAATCCAGCTCTTATGTTCAATACTCAACTCATTTCATCAAAAAGATCAGTGACATCACTCTACTACCAAACGACATTCGGGTTAGTTTTAATGACGTCTCATTGTTCACCAATGTACCAGTGAATCAGGCCTTAGAGCATCTGAAAGATGTTCTTCCGGAGGAAATCAACAACTTATTTCACCACTGTCTGATGACTACGTACTTTCAATGGCAAAATGAATTCTTTGAGTAGACAGATGGAGTCCACTTAGCCCGGTTATCGCCAACTTCTACATGGAACACTTTGAACAAATGGCACTGCGAACGGCCAAAAAGAAACCTACTTGTTGGTTTCGCTATGTGGATGACAGATTTGTTGTTTGGAACCATGAACTGGCAGAGCTCGAAAACTTTCTTAGGCGCGGTACTTTCACTTGCAGATAGCGATATTTATTCTCCAGATTAGAGAATATCCTAGAGATAAGAAAAACGAGTGTATTTTCACTTCCGTATAGTGATATCTATCAGATAAATGCGGGCTAACCTTTAGTTAACGTATCCTGTGGTCAGACCTAAGAATAACCGGTTTTATCTGCCGAATAGATCCTCACGCAGTGTGTTCACTCTGATTTAGATCACAACACAGAATTCTGATGACCTAATTTTCTAAGATTTGTGTTTGTTTGAAAAATTCGCTAAATAGGTGTTTTTTTTTTTTGTTATTTACAATTTCATTTTTGTACTTAGTATTTCAAATTTCAATATTTGCTCTTGAAAGCCCCTTGCTGATGATACCCTTCAAAACATGACTGGGGATGGAATAGCAAAGGGAAGAAACTCAACACATTTCTCTGAAGTTTAAAAGTTTTACAAAAAAGCCGAGCGCACCTGAAGTTTTTTGGAAATTCCAAATTTCCAGGTACAGGTACGACCATGTAATTTTGAGAAAGTAATTAGTATAGGGTGCCTAAGGACTACTAGAAGCCATAATATTATAGGGTTTTTCCTTTTTGATTTATTTGCAAAAATAATAGGCATGCATCTCTCAGATACACGCGCGACTAATTGTTTAACATAAACGCACCTTCTCTCTCCAAAAAAAAACATAAACAAATAAATTTCAAACTCAAATCCACCACAAATCAGTCAAATGACAAGTGGAATGCGGCGGCACGACAAAAACAAGCAACTAGACAAGAGATATATTCTATCTTTATCCGAAGCATTCAACTTCCCATAAGTTTTTCTCACTTTTCGTTTTTCTTTGGTTGGTAACACTAGCATTGCCGAAATACCGAAGGTACCAGCAACGGATTGTTAGCCTGAGGATAATTTTACCTGAAAATACCCCTCGGAGATATACTACAGATAGCAACCTCCGGTTTACTTATCCGATAGATAGTTATTCGCCGAATAAATTATATTTATACTGAGGTGAAAGTACCGGGCCTTAATCATCTAAACTCAATAGAACCCAGGATACAGTTTACGATGGAAGTTGAAAAGGAAAACAAAATAGCATTCCTCGACGTCCTCTTAGAAAAATACCCGTCAGGTAAACTGGGACACAGAGTATATAGCAAGCCGACGCATACAGACAGATACCTCAACAAGGAATCCATTCATCATCCTAGGCAAAAGAGAGGAGTCATTAAAACTCTATCTGACAGGGCAATCCGGATCTGTGAATCCAAATACCTGCAGGACGAGATGCAACACCTAAAATCAGCACTTGCAGGAAATGGGTAGGTACTCCAAGCAAGAGATAAATAGAGCTATAGGACCGAAGCAACAAATAACAAGGAACCAGCACAGGTGGCTGGGAGAGCCTTTCTTCCCTACATCAAAAATGTCACAGATCGCATAGGACGAACGCTGGAAAGACACAACATTAAGCCCATTTTCAAGCCCACGAGAACAATTCAGCAAAGTGTCTAAGATCGGCCAAGGATCCTAGGGCACCTCTTGAAACAGCTGTTGTCTATAGAATTCCCTGCTCTTGTGGACACAAAGAAACCATTCGTTTCGACCAGACTCAAGCATTGGATAGAACCAAACATTTCTACAGCAGACTCCACAGAGAAGCCATAGAGATACAGAAACACTGCAACAACTTTACCAGAAAAGAAGAGGGTACGAACCTCAACGAAAACTGGTTGCCAGTTCTGCCAAAAACAAAGACCCTTCCATTCCAAGAACGCGACAAGGAAAATAGCCTAATACAAGCCACGCCCACAAGCCTGGATATAAATAACGTAGGTTCAACAATGTCGAATCCAGTCATCGGAAAAACACGGAAGAGAACACTTCGTCCTCTACCACACCGCCTCTGAAAGTGTCTACCGCAGCAGTAGATGAAACGTTAGGTAGAAATACTACTAGACCACGGCATTATAGCCCCGAAAAAACTTTTTTACTAGATTTGACCGGCCGTGAAAGCCTTTATTCTTGATTATAGATCTATCCCGGAATTTTCAATTCTTGCAAGGATCTATTTTTTACATTGTAGGAGATTTCCCTTTTTTATTGTATTTATCAGTGACGGAAATGGGAAATGTCTCTTTCTAATACACTGTTTCTTATAGGCATATTGTTTGCTATTTAAAACAAAAATTGATTTTTTTTTTCTGAAACTGATAGAGATAAACTTAATAAACAATATTGAGAGGGTTTCGATAATTTATTGATATACCAGGTGCCCACGAGATCACTTTCCGGCAGCCTTTTTTTTATTTGTCCATTAATATCAACGAAACTTGGTAGGGTTGATATTCTATCCAAACGCCATTTTTATGCATTTGTGACAAGTTTTCCTGACTTCCGGTTCCACCGGAAATGACCGGAACTTTTGATTTTTGAATGGCACACCCTGTATATTTTTTGTTTTTCGGATTCTACAGGTCGTTTTACGTCCTAATGCACAATTTTTGAATCGAGTTTTGCCCAAATTTTGTTTTTAAATTAAATTTTAATTTTTTAACTAGAGTGTTCAAAAAAATACAAACTCAATTTTATCTTTGTAAACTTTTCTGATAGAGGGCTGTAAACTTCATTATTTTGGTATTTTTGCCCTAGCTCAAAAACTAGAATAGAAACATATCACTTTCATAACATTAATAAATGCAGTTTTTTAAAGCGAATCCAACGATATAATACACTACGACATTTTTCTTAATTTTCGTTCAAATATTTCTGTTTTATTATGTAGGTAGGTAATTTCTTTTTTCTACTTAAAATTTAATTTTGAAAACGAAATTTGGACAAAACTCAATTTAAAAGTGGTACAATAGGACGTAAAACGATCTGTATAATCCAAAAAACAAAAAATATACAGGGTGTGCCATTTGAA